CAGAAGTCTGACGACATAGAGAAGTCCGACGTCGGGTAGAAGTCCGCTGACGAGCAGAAGTCTGACGACAGGGAGAATTACGACGTCGGGTAGGAGTCCGCTAACGAGCAGAAGTCCGACGTCGGGTAGAAGTTCAACATCGGGTAGAAGACCGACGAAGATTCATCGACGAGCAAGAGTCTAACGACGAGTAGGAGTCGCGACGAGCAGAAGTCGATGACGAGTAGGAGTCCGCTGACGAGCAGAAGTCCGATGTCGGGTAGAAGTTTCAACGTCGGGTAGACGACCGACGAATATTCGTCGACGAGCAGAAGTCCGACGAAGAGTAGGAGTCCGCTGACGAGCAGAAGTCCGACGACGAGTAGGAGTCCGCTGACGAGCAGAAGTCCCACGAGTAGGAGTCCGCTGACGAGCAGAAGTCCGACGACGAGTAGGAGTCCCTGACGAGCAGAAGTCGATTCGGTAGAAGTTCAACGTCGGGTAGACGACCGACGAATATTCGTCGACGAGCAGAAAGTCGCGAGAAGAGTAGGAGTCCGCTGAGAGCAGAAGTCCGACGACGAGTAGGAGTCCGCTGACGAGCAGAAGTCCAACGACGAGTAGGAGTCTCGCTGACGAGCAGAAGTCCGACGACGAGTAGGAGTCCCGCTAACGAGCAGAAGTCGATGTCGGGTAGAAGTTCACCGTCGGGTAGCGACCGACGAATATTCATCGACGGCCAGAATCCGACGACGAGTAGAAGTCCAACGTCGGGTGGAAGACCGACGAGAATTCGTCGACAAGCAGAAGTTTCGACGATGATAGGAGTCCGCTGATGAGCAAGTCCGACGCAGCAGGGAGAAGTCCGATGTCGGGTAGAAGTTTACGTCGGGAAGAAGACCGACGAAGTTCGTCGACGATGCAGAAAGTCCGACGTCGGTAGAAGTTTGCTGACGAGCAGAAGTCCGACATCGGTAGAAGTTTAACGGCTGGGTGGAGACCGACGGAATTCGTCGACGAGCAAAGTTAAAGAAGTCTGCAAGGCAAAAATTCCAACAACAAGAGGAAATTCAACATCGGGTAAAAATTTAACTTTATGAAGAAGTTAAATGGAAGTCCTTGACGTCAATCTGGCGACGTTAACCAAGGATGTAAGAACAATACAATGTTGTATGTTAGAGCATTTGCTCGACGATGTTAACCGATATTGGATCCACCAATGATGTAAGATCTATATGATTTTTGCATGTCAGAGCCTTTGCTTGAACAACGTTAACCTGTATGGAAGAGTCGGGAGAATCCCGCAAGGATGTAAGACCTTTCCGAGTTGATATCGGAGCTTTGCTCGCACGACGTTAACCTGTGTGGAAGAGGTCGGGGAATCCCCATGATGTGAAGACCTTTCCGAGGTTGTATGTCGGAGCCTTTGCTCGACGACATTAACCTGTGTGGAAAGAGGTGGGAGAATCCGCCAAGGATGTAAGACCTTTCCGAGGTTGTATGTCGGAGCCTTTGCTCGACGACATTAACTCTGTGTGAAGAGTTGGGAGATCCACAAGGATGTGAGACCTATCGATTTATTTTTCACTTCACTTCACGGCTAAGATGCCACAGAAGCCTAAATAAATCTGCTAATTACTAGATTATTAAATACTAAATATAATGATTCACTAAACACCACTAATTATAGTGATTAATTAAGCACTAAGATGACATTCTTTGTGTTTTTTTTTTAATGACACCCACTTGATGAAATTAAAATTAGTAGATGCCTCTTTCAAGCAGCATCTCTCGGCAATGCTGTTGGAAGCAATAAAATAAAATAATACAAAATTGTCCTAAATTTATTTATTTTTAATTTTTAATCTTTTAATCTCTCTCATTAAAAAAAAACGGGAAATTATAATTATAATAAATTTATAATATTTAATTTATTTTAAAAATATTTAAATTATGTTTTAATCAAATTTTAGATAAATAATTAAATATCATCATTTAATTTTTTTTCTAAGAAAATACTCACTTCTTCTCAAAACTATTATTATGATTTAGATTGTACGAAGCTGATAAAAAATTCTTCAGGAAAAAAAACATTTAATTTTAAATATATTTATATAAAAAATTATTTCTTTGTTCTAAAGATAAATTTTTAATCTTTCAAAGATTCAAGATTCAGTTACATAGAGAAAAATCTCTCATATTTGTATGTGAATAATAAAATTAAAATTGAATTAAATAATTTTAAATAAGCAAATGCTAGTTTTAAATAAAATTATATTTTATATGCGATAAATTGGTATATTTGTATGAAATATTTTATATAAATTAAATGCTCAATTTGAAAAAGTTTTATGAAGAGATAAAAAATCTAATTAAATATTATATTTACTCATTTTGTATGAAATTAACTAATTATCAACAGCCATTCAATGCATTTTTATTTTAAATATGTACCTACTATGATAGAAGTGTAGTATTACTTAATTAAAAATGGGCTTGAATATATGAGAATCAATGAACCCTAATCCTTGACTTATGCCAATAATTTTCTTACTATTTCATAAAGCAGCTTCCTAGTACAAAAAAATTAATTTTGAACTAAAAAACTGATTTAAAAAGCAATAAAAAAGTCGTCCCAAACGAATCTTAATCCTTGATTATCTGATGTTGCAATCTAATTAAGATTTCATTTGATATTGTTTTCTTACTGCTTTTTAAAGCAGTTTTTTAGCACCAAAATTTTTAGTTCAAAAATTTGTGTACTAAAAAACTATTTTAAAAAACAGTAAAAAGTTGTCGAAGCAAAGAGTAACATCAAAGCTATGGAATAAAAAAACTTACAACTTCAAATGTATTATGTATTGTATATAATTGAACCGAAAGTGCATAGCTAAGGCTTCGTTTGGGACGGCTTTATTACTGTTACATAAATCAGCTTTCTAGTACAAAAATTTTAATTTTTGTACTAGAAAACTGATTTAAGAAGCATAAAGAAAGTCGTCCCAAACGAAGCCTAAGTCTCTATGATTCTTTAAACTAAGGTCCACTCAATAATACACTAAACAATAGAGCCGTGATATCTTAACATTACAAAGATGAAGCAACAATGTAAGAAAATGATAATATAGACAAGGCATGCAAGGCAATATATATAAAATTGTTAGCTTAATCACCTCTTAATCAATAGTGCTATCACATGTAAGAAGAGTAATTAATTATTAAATCTTGCACTAATTGAAATTTTTGACGTTAAGAGTTGAATAAAATTCTTACTATTTAGGTGAAATTTGATTATGTCAACTTTCTCATTTAAAAAAAGTGGAGACTTCCAAAATAGAGTAGGGTGAGCTTTTCAAAACCCATAACAATGCTTTTTATTTTATTTTATTTTACTATTTTTTAACAAAACTTAAGATCGAACGCAATGAGTAGGGGAATATATGAGTCGAGTCGAGCTTGAGTCACCGCGGCTTGATCTTGAATAATAAACTGAGTTCAAGCTTAAGCTCAAGTTTAATTCTACGACTTTGAGTCGACTTAAGCTATCTAATTTATAATTAAAGTAATTATTATAATAAAATAGTAATAAAAGAGTAATTATAAAAAAATAAAAAATCAATTGATATGTGAAAGTAAGATATAGTTTTCAAATATTTTTGATAAATTTGTGCTTAAACTCCTATATATAAATATATTTTAAATCTATATTATATTACTATTTATCAAACAAACCAACTCACAAGTTAAGGAGAAATTATTGCGTGCTATCACCGAACGCCATCCGGAGAGAAATCAGGACTCGCCACTTCACCTTTTTGCTATGTACCGGCGCTGTACCTCTGTGTATCATGTGACATGGTGCATGATGATCAGCCTTCAGACGGTCCGATGACCATACGTAATGATTTCTCCAAGTTAAGAGTTCAGTCGAAACTGACTTAAACTTTCGAATCATCTATTTAGCCGAGCTCAAGCCAACTCATGAGTTGGCCTAAAGCAATATATTATAAGATTGTGTTAGGGCTATCAAAAACAAAATATTCATGATATCTATACGTGCATGCAATCATCCAAACACAATATCCATGATTTAATTTAATAAAAATTTTAACTAAAAATTTACTTTAAAAATAATAAGCCCCAAATAAAACCTTAATTTGAGATTAAAAAAAATACAATATCGCCCACCCACAAATTATAAAATACTTTAAACTTTATAAAAGTGGTAGTACTAAGAGAAAAATTAAAAAATAAAAAATAAAATCAGAAATCCATATCACCATACGTTGCACCCAACATTTTTTAGAAAAACGAAGTGCCAGCATATCAAGATTCTTTTATAGGATGTTAGTGGACGGTATAGTGTTACTTATCAAAAGATTCTATTTAAAGTAAAAACAGTCCCCCTCAACTTTTTATCTCTCCTACTTGTTCTTTGTGTGGTTCTCTCTCTCTCTCCTAAAGCATACAAACAACAATATCTCCAGAAAATAGTGGCCACAATCAGGAATAATTATTAGGTCCGGACACCTGACGTAGCTCTACATCCGAATATCAATAACATATCGCCACGTACTCTTACTCTTTATAGCGCGGCCCGAAGAATCAACTCAGACCGGAACCCAGTATTGCTATGTTCGGTTTTTGCTCGGTATTGTTCGGTATTGCTTGACAATAACGAGAAATACCGCTCTGTCAAGACCAATACCTATCAATACCGAATAATACCGAGCATAACCTAGCAAAATCGGGGTATTGCTAGGTATTGATAAGTATTGCTCGGTATTGGTCTTGACAGATTGATATTTCTCGTTATTGCCGACCAATACCGAGCAATACCTAGCAATACTCCGGTCTGCACAAATCAGCCGATACATAGCAATATCTGGTCCAAGTCGTTGGGTCGCGCCGTAAAGAATAAGAGCACGTGGCGACATGTTATTGGTGTCTGGATGTAGAGCTACGTCAGGCGTCCGGACCTAATAATTATTCCACAATCACAGAGAATTGAAAGGGGAATCTCAGCTAACGGAACTTCCACCTCAACTCCAAATTCTCATTAGAGAGAAAACAAAATAGCTTAGAGAGAGGGATTGGAAACTCATTAGTAGCCAGTGAAGCTTAACAGAAATATAATAGTCTAGATTCTTGCATGCTTTAACAATTGCCTCACACGCTCGCACTTACAAATAGCATATAGGAAGGTCTATGTAGTTCTCTTCTTCTCAGGCGGCGGCCACTGTTTCGCCGGGGCCGGAGGGCTCTGACAAAGTGGTGGTCGCCGGAGCTTTCTTCATCCTGTCCTCCTGGTTCATTAGCTGCTGCCGGCACTCCAAGCTACAGAAAGCAATCTCACCCCTAAGGAAGACAGCACAGAGGATCATATAAATAATCGAGCATAATTATATTAAGAAATATAAAATTCTTATATATAATTGATTAATCGATATTTTTATATATGATTAATTTATATTTTAATTTTTATCCATCTAAAATTACTCAAAATCTACAAAATTCCTCATGACTTAAAAGATGTGAGGACGGTAACCAAATTTATTTTCTATTTTAGAATAATATGGCAGAATGACTTATTTGCCGGTCAACAGACAGCTCATTAGCTGCGGGACTAAGGAAATTTAAAAAAAAAACAAATTTTTACATATTATCTATTTTTATGATTATAAAAAAACCTGTTAAAAATATTTTTCAAATAATTAATTTATTCACAAAAACAATTTTAAAACTTGAGTTTTGGGTATAATATCTCTGTTCCAGGGTTGGAAACTGAAAGAACGTTTGAATCTTTTTGAGCGAATATGTATTTATAAAATAAAGATTGATTTGTATCTTCGGATCTTCCAACTCTCAAGTGAAGAAATATCGTAAAATCAATAAAAAAACTGAAATGATTTGAAAGGAAAGGGTAATAAATTATCAGCGAAATTTTGGAAAAAAAATTTTAAAAAAGAATTTGCATCTTCTTCTAACGAAAAATCATACAAACGAAGATAAGCACCAAAAATAACGATAAAAAACAGCGATTCTCTAAAATTACGGTTATAAAAGATTATTGGATGATATTCTCACTTTCGATCATGAATCCGATAACCAGAAAAAAATTTGATTACGAAACAGAAACAGAACAAATCTCTCGATCTGAAAAAAACATCACGCTATTCTACGGGGGATGTTAACTTGTTATATTTCGGTTTAAAAAAATTTTGAGAGAATCAAAACTGAAATCTATTTTATATGACAGCTTAAATCTCATAAATGACGAGTTATAATAAATCCTGAATGAAATCAATAACAAAGTTGATAATAAGTTTGTCAAAATAGCAGTATTAATGTCACTAAAATTCCCATTAGCATGATTTGAAGAAAATCTTCCTAAACCCTACTTAAAATAGGATACAGAACAGCCCTAAACTAAGAAACAAATACAGAGTAAATCAATCGACAAGACACCAAGAAACCAGATAAAAAAAAGGCTTAAACTAATTAAGGACGGACGCAGGTCGCTTGATCTCTTGCTGAGAGCTTTGGCTATCGATTAAGAAGCTTTGGGATTGAAGATTATGTATGAGAGATGTGTGTGAGTTTGACTTAATTTGCTAAAAAATCTCACAAAAAAATTAAGGACGGGATGTCCTGAGAATACCTATACATGAAGATGTCGCGGCCTAGATTGAGGCTGTGCTTGCAGAGACCACAGGACCTGAGAAACGGCGCCGTTTCAACCGCTGCCGCAAAATCAGCGGAGTTCCTCCGCGGTCCTTGGGGCTGGATCATCGTGGCGGCAGCCGAAGCCCACTTATAGTTTCTCTGCCTACACTCAACCGGAAAATCACCTGGCCACCACGGCTGCTTCGATTCAAGATGTTGAAGCTGCTGATGCGGATTGATGGCGACCGTCGCCGGAATATTTTCATCGGACAAGAGCGGAGAATCGTCGGCCAGTTCTAAATCGGCGGCGAACTTCGTCATACTGATGGTTCGACTCATCGGAGGTCGCGGCCTCTTACCGAGCAACATTTCCGGCAGCTCTTCACTCTTCAGACAGAGAGACAGAGCTGAGTGGGGTACAAGTGGGTTTGCAAGTAGCTCGGAGGGAGCGAAAGATAAAGTGAGGGAAACGGGATCTGGGCCGTCGGTTTGAATCATGGCATCCGATGTACCCACGTCAGCATTTTTATTATATAGCTTTTTTTCCCGATATTTATTTCTGCATCAATTTAGTTCGGATACGGTATAGTGAGATTAACAAAATTCATTTATATTTAATATTATAATCTCCCGTGACTACAAAAATAAAATAAAATCTTAATAATACTTCCTAATCTTTTATTTATATGATTGAGAATGCTTCATCAGATGTTATATCTAAAAAGACATGTGAACTATTTAAAATGCATATATATCTACCTTAGGAGAAATTATTTTATGTAGAGATTGAATGTAGAATGTCATCCGAAGATCAAACAAAATTCACCACATTAGCAATACCTAACAGAGTTCTTGCACAATGGCAAGAAAGACGAACGGGAAAGAAGATCTTGTCCAAAGACAAGACGATGACGTGAACCAGGAAACAGAGAATAGCAGAGGGAAATAGGCAAATACAAATAAGTAAATACAATAAAATGTATTATTAACTAAGTAAATAATCTGACGTGTACATGTGTGCTAAGAGCCACCTTCAAATTAATCATTCGATGAACGAATGGTTAATTTGGATCGAAGTAGATTGTGTCTAGTGACGGGAAGAGGATTTGTTAGAACATCGGCTACTTGATCTGTTGAACTAATATGATGAATTTTAATAGGCCCTTGCTTGATATGATTGCTGATGAAATGATAATCGATTTCAATATGCTTCGTCCGAGCATGAAAAACTGGATTGTGAGCGAGAGCAATGGCGGAGGTGTTATCACAATAAATCGGTGTAGGATTGTGTTGTGGTAGATTGAATTCTTCAAGTAGTCGACGAAGCCACAAGATATCCGAAGTAGCGGAAGATAAGGAACGATATTCAGCTTCCGTCGAAGATTTTGCAACAGTTACCTGTTTCTTGACGGACCAAGAGATTAAATTAGTTCCAAGAAAAGTATAGAAACCGGTAACCGACTTCCGATCAGCAGAATCAGAAGCCCAATCCGCATCCGTATATGTTCAAAGATCTAAGTGTCCGGATTGGATAGGAAGTCCGTAACTGAGCGTGCCTTTGATGATCTTAAGAGACGCTTGAGATCTTGAAAATTTCGGTCTGTTGGAGTGTGCATATGCTGACAGATGTGATTGGTTGCAAACGCTATATCCGGTCGTGTAATCGATAAATACTGGAGTGAGCCAGCAAGCTTACGGTAGTAGGTAGGATTCGAATAAGCGTGATCGTCTACGTGCTTCTTCTGTTTCATGCAGAGAGGAGTTGCCGAAGGTTTACAATCGGTAAAACTTGCAAGGGAAAGCAATTCACGTGCATAATGCTGTTGATGTAAAAAATATCCAGTTGAGGTTTTGATAACCTGGATGCCGAGAAACAACGCAACATCTCCAAGTTGTTTTAGGCAAAATTCTGACTGTAGCTACTGCAGAACATGTTTAATCCTAGCCTCATCATTCCCTGTTATCAAAATATCATCCACATAGATAAGTATGAACAAGCGAATATTATTGTGATGAAAAAGAAGTAGAGAAGGATCGGCTTTGCTAAAAACAAAGCCGAGAGAGTTAAGAAATGTGGTGAATTTCTGAAACCACTGTCGCGGAGACTGTTTTAGACCGTAGATGGACTTGTGCAATTTGCAAACGTGTTGCGGATGTTGAGAATCAACAAACCCAATGGGTTGCTTCATGTAGACTTCATCGGAGAGATCACCATGGAGAAACGCATTTGACACATCAAGTTGATTTACCGACCAATTATGATGCAATGCGACAGTAAGCAAAATGCGTATGGTGACCATTTTGGCGACGGGACTGAACGTCTCGGTGTAGTTGACCCCAAATTCTTGCGAACACCCTTGAGCAACCAGTCTAGCTTTATAGCGATCTACTTGTCCATTTGGATGAAGCTTGGTTTTGAACATCCATTTACATCCAAGAATTTGTTTATTAGACGGAGGTGCGACTAAAGACCATGTTCCATTTTGCTGTAAGGCTAAAAATTTGGCGGACATAGCAGACCTCCAATGTTCGTGTTGAGCAGCTTGAGCATAAGATGTAGGAGCAAGACTAGACGTCAGAACTACCGAAATATCAAAAATCTGCTTGGGTTTTGAGATGCCCGACCGAAGTCTGGTAAGCATTGGATGTCTTTGACTTGGTTTGGTAGTTGCAGAGGTATCGTTGCTAACAGATTGAGGAGATTCAGAAACGGGAACCGTGACTGAAGGCGAGACCAAAGGCGGGTTGGCATGTATATTAGGTATGTCACGAGGTAACTGAGCATTACTGGGAGGAATTTGTGATGTAGGAATGAGTAAAAGTGGATTGTGAGTTATTGAAGGCGGTAAAGAGGTTTGACTAATTTGATTTGTTTGAAAAGGGAATTTATTTTCATAAAAAACAACATGACGAGAAATGTATATTCGTTTGGTTGGTTCATGAAAGCAACGATATCCTTTGTGTTGAGATGAATAACCAAGAAAGACACATTCTTGGGACCGCGGCGACAACTTGTTTGGTGCTTGAGGTTTAGTCTAAGGAAAACAAAGACATCCAAAAACACGAAGATGACTATATACAGCCGGTGTACCATGTAAACAAAAATAAGGAGTCTGATTTAGAATGGTAGAAGAGGGTACTCGATTTATCAGGTAGTTTGCGGTGGAAATGGCCTCCGCCCAGAATTTATGCGGAAGATGCGCAGCGTGAAGAAGTGCTCGAGTTGAATCTAGCAAATGTTGATGCTTTCGTTCGGCAGTACCATTCTGTTCTGGAGTGTATGGACAGCTCAATTGATGAGTAATACCGTGGTCCATGAGATAATTTCAGAAATCTGTACTGGTGAATTCACCACCGCCGTCGGACCTGAAAATCTGAACGTTTGCATTGAATTTATTTTTAACAAGTTGATGAAACTGTTTAAATTTCGCAAACGTTTCATTTTTGGATTTTAACAAATAAAGCCAAGTAAAATTTAGAAAAATCATCAATGAATAGAACATAGTAGTAAAAACCATCTAAAGATGGCATGGGTGCCGGACCCCAAACATCAGAATGTACTAATTGAAACGGCTTATTACACACAGAAGAGCTATCAGAAAAAGGCAATTTATGACACTTAGAAACAGTACAAGAAACACAAGGATTCATAGATGAAAAAGATCCGGTGAGTTCCGAAATATTGCTGTCGAGTATATGCAGAACCCGAGAGTTCGGGTGACCCAATCTTGCATGCCATAGAGAATGAGAATTGCAGGTTGCACGCAGAGCCTTGGTACTAGTTTGCGAAGGAAGCTTGACTTGGTACAGGCCATGACGTTTGGGACCTTGGAGAAGCGTTCGATTGTCCCGACGATCCTTTATTGAAAATCAGTTAGAATTAAATAACACAGATACATTGTTATCGATAGTAAGTTTGAAAATGGAAAGCAAGTTGTGAGAAATGGAAGGAATATGAAGAAGATTTCGAAGATGCAGCTTACGATACGAGTCCGGAAGAGGTAGAAGACCTTGTCCGGAGTTTTGAATCGGTAAAGTGTTGCCATTAGCAATGGAGACCGTATCACCGCCAGTATAAGGAGTTGATTTTTGAAGATTGGAGGCATCGGCAGTCAAGTGAGACGAGGCACCGGAGTCCAAGATACAATCACCGGTGGAAGAAAATTGTTGTTGAACAGTCAGAGCTTTGGGATTTGTTGGAGGAGCATACTGTAAATTACATCTATGCCAACAATTAAGTGCTTCATGACCATTCTTGCCACAAATTTGGCAAGAAATCTTGCTGGAAGAATTTCGACCAACGTTTGTTGAGTCCATATTGGGTACAGGTCTTGTATTGAAGTTTGGCCCCTTAGCTCTGTTGAAGCGTCCACGAGTGTAGCCAGCACGGTTGGAAAGAAACACAACATTATCGGAGTGCGACTTATTTTCTTGAGCAAGTTGGTGTTGAATATTTATTTCCTCACTGCACAATAAAGAGTAAAGTTGATCGAGACTAATACGATTTAGAGAGGTTCGTATATAAGTTTTGAACGAATTGTATATGGTTTGAAGGCCATTGAGGATGTATAATATGACATCCTCGGTGTCGATTGTAGACCCAGCAGCGGCAATATTGTCGACAAGAATCTTGATTTGATCAAGATACTGATTCATTGTTCGGTCCTTCATTTGAATTTGATGAAGCTCATTCTTGAGTTGAATGACGCGAGAAAGACTAGTTGGTTGAAGACGTCGTTCAAGTGTTGTCCAGACTTCATGAGCGGTTTGAAGGGTGAGGACATAAGGAAGTACAGAAGGAGAAATGGTTGAAAGTAATGCAGATACGAGATTGCGATCAATTAAATTCCAAAGATGCTGTTCTTTCTGGAGTGAGGCTGGAGGGCACAGTGAAATCCCGGTGAGATGATCACCGAACCCATTTGCAGCAAAATGTTGGTATAATTGCAGACGCCATATCGCATAGTTTTCAGTGGTAAGCTGGGTATGAACAAGATTCTTGACATTAGAAATCAAGAATTTGAGAGGAATCGGAATTACAAACTCTGTGAGAGATTCCGATAAAGTTTGTCGTGAACTGGTAGCAGACTCTTGTTCGGCCATGGCACTTAGGTAAGAGCTGTGAAGCAAGGCAGCTCTGATACCATAACAGAGTTCTTACACAATGGCAAGAAAGACGAACGGGAAAGAAGATCTTGTCCAAAGAAAAGACGATGACGTGAACCAGGAAACAGAGAATAGCAGAGGGAAAAGGAAAATATTATTGAATACCTTAACTCAGTACAATGGACCTTTATATAGGCAAATACAAATAAGTAAATACAAGAAAATGTATTATTAACTAAGTAAATAATCTGACGTGTACAGGTGTGCTAACAATACCGAGCCGCGGTACCGAGCTGTAGACAGTACTACCGAGCTGTAGACAGTAGTACCGAGCCACGGTACCTAGTGAAGGAGTGATGTGACGCATTCTAGTTGATCTCTGAACAGCATTCGACGTTCACACAGAATAATTAATTATGTCTTAGCTAGAATTATTGGAAGTGCCTTTTATATTAAGGATTAGTTTGGGACGATTTTTTTATTGTTTTTTAAAACAGAGTTTTAGCACAAAAAATTTAATTTTGTACTAAAACTCTGCTTTTAAAAGCAATAAAAAAATCATCTCAAACGAATCCTAAGTTATGGACTAAACGGGCATAGTCAGTACAACTAAGTTTGGGCAAGTGATTGTCTCATATTGATGGGGCTAGCTAGCAATCATCTAGTGGAGACGAGCTCCAATGAGATGGTCGCCTTCAACATGCGAATTATTGTTGGACAATTACCTCGAATAAGTAAGTGCCTCTCCTGTCAACCTTTATTAGGACTCGTGCTTCCTTAGTTAAGTTTTATGGGGTGAACTCCACTAGGATAAGTGTCTTCTATTTGTTAAATTTTGCTAAGATTAGTTCCCCCCTCAAGGCATGTCTCATGGGAAAATTATTACATGTGGTGTACGGATTTGTTCGTAGGCGAATCTAGACACGCCACATCACCCAGGTCCCAATGCATCTAGGTGACGTGGTGTGTCCGGATTCGCCTCCGCACGGTCCGGACACCACACGTAATAATCTCTCTACCTCAGGAGGGTTCATCTCTCAGACAGTTCATACAAATTTCTTATACATACAATCTATTGAGGTGTACAAACTAATTATGCCACTCTATAGTCTATACTCAAGATCAAGCTGCAACAAATGGGGAAATCATTCGATGACAAGTTTAATTCAATCATGGAGCTGATATCCCAAGCTGAATGATTAATTGAGTTTTGTTCAATTGTCCAGAAATATGAGCTTCCTTGTAAAATCTTGAATCTTTGATCCCTCTATATACCGGCAGGGGTGTCAATATTTGACACGACACGAAAACCCGACATAAGGAAATTTAAAAAAAAAACAAATTTTTACATATTATCTATTTTTATGATTATAAAAAAACCTGTTAAAAATATTTTTCAAATAATTAATTTATTCACAAAAACAATTTTAAAACTTGAGTTTTGGGTATAATATCTCTGTTCCGGGTTGGAAACTGATAGAACATTTGAATCTTTTTGAGCGAATATGTATTTATAAAATAAAGATTGATTTGTATCTTCGGATCTTCCAACTCTCAAGTGAAGAAATATCGTAAAATCAATAAAAAAACTGAAATGATTTGAAAGGAAAGGGTAATAAATTATCAGCGAAATTTTGGAAAAAAAATTTTAAAAAAGAATTTGCATCTTCTTCTAACGAAAAATCATACAAACGAAGATAAGCACCAAAAATAACGATAAAAAACAGCGATTCTCTAAAATTACGGTTATAAAAGATTATTGGATGATATCCTCACTTTCGATCATGAATCCGATAACCAGAAAAAAATTTGATTACGAAACAGAAACAGAACAAATCTCTCGATCTGAAAAAAACATCACGCTATTCTATGGGGGTTGTTAACTTGTTATATTTCGGTTTAAAATTTTTTTGAGAGAATCAAAAATGAAATCTATTTTATATGACAACTTAAATCTCATAAATGATGAGTTATAATAAATCCTGAATGAAATCAATAACAAAGTTGACAATAAGTTTGTCAAAATAGCAGTATTAATGTCACTAAAATTCCCATTAGCATGATTTGAAGAAAATCTTCCTAAATCCTACTTAAAATAGGATACAGAACAGCCCTAAAATAAGAAACAAATACAGAGTAAATCAATCGACAAGACACCAAGAAACCAGAGAAAAAAGGCTTGTACTAATTAAGGACGGATGCAGCTCGCTTGATCTCTTGTTGATAGCTCTCAGAGATTTTGGGATCGAAGCTTATGTATGAGAGATGTGTGTGAGTTTGACTTAATTTGCTAAAAAATCTCACAAAAAATTTAAGGGCGGGATGTCCTGAGAATACCTATACATGAAGATGTCGCGGCCTAGATTGAGGCTGTGCTTGCAGAGACCACAGGACCTGAGAAACGGCGCCGTTTCAACCGCTGCCGCAAAATCAGCGGAGTTCCTCCGCGGTCCTTGCGGCTGGATCATCGCGGCGGTAGCCGAAGCCCACTTATAGTTTCTCTGCCTACACTCAACCGGAAAATCACCTGGCCACCACGGCTGCTTCGATTCAAGATGTTGAAGCTGCTGATGCGGATTGATGGCGACCGTCGCCGGAATATTTTCATCGGACAACAGCGGAGAATCGTCGGCCAGTTCTAAATCGGCGGCGAACTCCGTCATACTGATGGTTCGACTCATCGGAGGTCGCGGCCTCTTACCGAGCAACATTTCCGGCAGCTCTTCACTCTTCAGACAGAGAGACAGAGCTGAGTGGGGTACGAGTGGGTTTGCAAGTAGCTCGGAGGGAGAGAAAGATAAAGTGAGGGAAACGGGATCTGGGCCGTCGGTTTGAATCATGGCATCCGATGTACCCACGTCAGCATTTTTTTTTATATAGCTTTTTTTCCCGATATTTATTTCTGCATCAATTTAGTTCGGATACGGTATAGTGAGATTAACAAAATTCATTTATATTTAATATTATAATCTCCCGTAACTACAAAAAAAAAAAAAAATCTTAATAATACTTCCTAATCTTTTATTTATATGATTGAGAATGCTTCATCAGATGTAATATCTAAAATGACATGTGAACTATTTAAAATGCATATATATCTACCTTAGGAGAAATTATTTTATGTGGAGATTGAATGCAGAATGTCATCCGAAGATCAAACAAAATTCACCACATTAGCAATACCGAGCCGCGGTACCGAGCTGTAGACAGTACTACCGAGCTGTAGCAGTAGTACCGAGCCACGGTACCGAGTGAAGGAGTGATGTGACGCATTCTAGTTGATCTCTGAACAACATTCGACGTTCACACAGAATAATTAATTATGTCTTAGCTAAAATTATTGGAAGTGCCTTTTATATTAAGGATTAGTTTGGGACGATTTTTTTATTGCTTTTTAAAACAGAGTTTTAGCACAAAAATTTTAATTTTGTACTAAAACTCTCCTTTTAAAAGCAATAAAAAAATCATCTCAAACGAATCCTAAGTTATGGACTAAACGGGCATAGTCAGTACAACTAAGTTTGGGCAAGTGATTGTCTCATATTTATGGGGCTAGCAATCATCTAGTGGAGACGAGCTCCAATGAGATGGTCGCCTTCAACATGCGAATTATTGTTGGACATACCTCGAATAAGTAAATGCCTCTCCTGTCAACCTTTATTATGACTCGTGCTTCCTTAGTTAAGTTTTATGGGGTGAACTCCACTAGGATGAGTGTCTTCTATTTGTTAAATTTTGCTAAGATTAGTTCCCCCCTCAAGGCATGTCTCATGGGAAAATTATTGCATGCGGTGTCCGGATTTGTTCGTAGGCAAATCTAGACACGCCACATCACCCAGGTCCCAATGCATCTAGGTGACGTGGTGTGTCCGGATTCGCCTCCGCACTGTCCGGACACCACACGTAATAATCTCTCTATCTCAGGAGGGTTCATCTCTCATACAGTTCATACATACAATTTATTGAGGTGTACAAACTGTTAGCACTCTCCAATAGAACACTTACACGTGTAATAGCTGTTACGGTTTCTTGCATTTTCTGTATTTACTTTTCTATATATATCCTTCATGTACAAACACTTTTAATACATAATACTATTTCCTTTTACATTGTCCTGTCCGTGTCTGCCTTTTCCTTTCTTGTCTTCTTGCTCTCTCTTCTTCACATGGTATCAGAGCACCAGGAATGGCAGAACAAGACTCGGCAGTTTCTTCACACCCACCCTCCTCCACCAATACAGGCATCTCCTCGGAATACCTCATACCACCACCCCTCAAATTTCTTATCTCCAACCTCAAGACCCTTGTCCCAACTCAGCTATCCGCCGACTCCTACCCAATATGGCGGTTTCAGCTCTTACAGCATTTTTCAGCGAACGGGTTCGCCGGACACCTCACCGGCGAAACACCCTGCCCACCGATCTCCTCTACCGTCGACCACAACCTCTGGCGGCTCATTGATCGCAATCTCATTTCCGCTCTCCTCTCGACTCTCAATGCTGCTATCATCCCTTACGTTCTTCACTCTGCCACGGCACAAGAAGTGTGGCAGACCCTAGAACGACGTCTTCAACCCTCGAATCGATCTCGAGTTATCCAGCTCAAGAACGAGCTACACAACATACAAATGAAGAACAACACCATGCAGCAGTATCTTGCAAATGTCAAGAATCTGGTTGACAATATAGCCGCCTCCGGATCTACAATCGATACAGAAGACATTCTCATCTTCATCTTGAACGGCCTCCCGCCCTCTTACAATGCATTCAGATCGGCTATTCGCACATCTCAACTACCTATTGATCTTGATACTCTTTTTTCCCTCCTCTGCAGCGAGGAAATCAATCTCCAAACTCAGCAACAAAAAGATCTAGCCTCCACCACAGATTCTGTAGCATTGTTCTCCAACCGAACAAACAACAATCGCGGCAAACCTTTTTACCGCAATAATAAGGGCAAGAATTCAAACATCAGACCCACATCTCAACCATTTCCTCAAACTACTCCACCGCAACACCTCTCCGAACGCCCTACATGCCAGATCTGTAGCAAAGTCGGTCATTCAGCCTTAAATTGCTGGCACCGGTGTAATCTAAAGTATGCTCCCTCGACCTCCTCAACGCCGCGAGCAATGCTTTCATACAACAACAACAATCCGACGTCTGACTGGGTTCTTGACTCCGGCGCATCATCACATCTCACTCCGGATCTTACAAATTTTAATTATGCCACTCTATAGTCTATACTCAAGATCAAGCTGCAACAAATGGGGAAATCATTCGATGACAAGTTTAATTCAATCATGGAGCTGATATCCCAAGCTGAATGATTAATAGCTAGAGTTTTGTTCAATAGTCCAGAAATATGAGCTTCCTTGTAAAATCATGAATCTTTGATCCCTCTATATACCCCTACTATCATCCTCATCATTTCTTCTTTTTACACAACTAGCCCTCACAAGATTTATCACTTTGTGGCAAATGTCCTAAATTTTAACATTTGTTATATTTAATAGATATATAATAATAAACTATAGCTATTTAATATTTTTAAATATGAACAAATAATAATAATTTGTGCCTCTCTAAATAGTAAAACTATTTTATATGCAATTGTTAAGATATTTTTTACATTTTATATTATTTACATGCTTGTTTCACAATTCAAGAGATCATGCCATTGATCACTATATTTGCATTCATGCTAATCACCATCAATACATGCTTACTTAGGCTTCGTTTGGGACGGCATTCTTCCTGCTTCCTGAAGCATCTTTTTAGTATAAAAATCAAAACTTTTATACTAGGAAGCTGCTTTAAGAAGTAGTAAGAAATCCATCCCAAACGAAGCCTTGGGATGACTTTCTTATTGTTTCTTAAAATCAGTTTTTTAGCGCAAATATTTTAATGTTTGTGCTAAAAATATGCTTTAAAAAACAGTAAGAAAACCGCCATAAACAAAATCTTAATTCTCTTATTAAACTCCTTTCCCACAATGTAAATACAAGTGATTTGAGTGAAAAAAATGTGCACATAAAATACAAAATATTTTTTAAAAAGATAACCCTTCCTAAATTTTGATTGCAAATTTGCTCCATCCCTTAAATAAAAATAGCAATTTTATTTTATATAAATGTATATTATTAAATCACATAAAAGTTATATTTCACATTATCTTAAAATTATATAATTATCCCAAATATTTTTTTTCATGATCTATAATACATTAATAAATAATGATATAAACTTGAATAAATATAGACTTCATAATCAACTATTGAGAAGCAATAGAGAGGGCCCCACCCAATCTACATTACAGGCTAATTAAATTTGGCAGCTCACTCAGGCATTTTTCCTTCAATATTTGGTTGATCTTTGTGGGCCCTCTCTTTATTTAATTATTTTCGTATTTAAGTGGAGCCTGGCGTAAGCAAATATCAACGGCTCTTCATCACGTTGAAAGGCCAAAAATCAAATTTATTTTTGTATAGGGAAATTTACAGGCGCATCCAAAACTTTTGAGAGAATTACATCCTTTGAGAAAAATAAGAGCAAAAATTGGGGGTAGTTAACTTTGTTGGGCAATTCTATAAAAAATAAATGCCGAATTCATAAGAAGGATAAGCCAAGGGCATATAATTATAATTTTCCTTTATTTTTTTTTTACGCACCAGCCCCTGGTGGAGAAATAAAGTAGTTTTTATTTTACTTTCAAATTTTTGGCTTTAGGCGTGCGCGCTACTTTATCAATCAGATGGATTGAATTTATGAATTTGTAGAATTATTTAATTTATATTATAATTAAGATTTTTTTTTTTTTTTTTGATGGGGGAGTGGGGTGCAAAGGTATCTACCTCAGCTTGTGAAGTGATTGACTTCGTTAACTAATCCTTCGACTGATATGGAAGAGGCGCTCACTCCTACATAACCTCCTGGCCGGCACCTATTGGGACCCCACTTAAGAGGCGCTGCCGCTCGAGGGGAATATAACACGAGTTGGGAGTCCCCAACTGTATTCGCCCACCAACCAAGCTAAGCATCTACAGGTAATTAAGAAAATTAAATCGGCCAAATTATTATATTTGATTGAATCGAATGTTGCTTGATATGGATTGATTGATGTGATTCAAGATGATCAAATTTAAAACGGGGTTTTTGTGTTTGAGAATGAGATTATGGTTGCAGTAGAAATTTGATGGTAAGATTTTCTGACAAGATAAAAAAAAATGTACGTAGCTCATCTTTATCTATTTTTTAAGAGTTTTGACTACTAATCAAAATGTGTTGGGTCGAGTCTTACGTAAATGTATATAATGCGTGTGTGAGATTGTCTTAGTTGGCATAAGACTTCCTTTGGGATGAATTTTTTATTGCTCTATGAAACGCTTTTTTGGTACAAAAATTTCATATTAAAAAAATTTATTGAGAAAATACTTCATAAAGCAGTAAGAAACTATTCCAAATTGAATGACTTTTTTACTGTTGTCTAAAACATCATTCTAATACAAAAAAAAATTCTTAAATTTTAAAATTTTCTACTAAAAAGCTTCTTTACCGCAATATGTGATATTGCTTCGAGAAACATGGACACCAATAGATGAGATGGAGCAACCAACAATGAGGCTTAGGGTTTATCTGGGACAGCTTTCTCGTTGCTTTATTTTTCCGACAACTACAATTTTGTTTTATTACTGCTTTCTCACAACTTTTCATAAATTTTAATGGTAGAAAGCTATTGCTTATAACCATAATAACTAAATTGTTTTCTTCATAGTAACTTAAAAAAAAAAAATTATAAAAACTACAGTCATCCTAAATAAATTCTCAATGAGGACATCAATTAATGTGAACCTCCTACTTAGCGCACAGAAGTACGAAGAGTCGAAGATAATCATCAATTTGCGATGGAGAGGAGTCTAAAAATTGAGAGATTGAGGAATGAAAAATAAAAGAATAATTACAAGAGGGACCATTTCATTTCTTCATGTTACATAATTATGATTATTTAAAAACTTACAAAAACGCACTAATTATAATATATGCATTGGCTCTAATGTAACCCAAATTACTTATTATAAATATAAGAGCTAGCATTAAATATTAACCAAGATCCCATTATAAATCTCTTATAAAAAATAATTGTAAAAAGTAAAAACAAAAAAGAATGATTGATCATTGGTCTGGTGGAATAAGACAGCCAATCATAATTTCGAAAGCAACGTTATTACAACGGGAAATTTTAGCCGCATTATTCTATTATTTTGCAATAATAGTATATTTTGGTGTGGCGATATATATATATATAGGGGTTAGAGAGATAAAGAGTTTAACATTTTAGTTTTGAAAGAAGATTTAACGCACATACAACTGAAGAGAGAGGATGTGAGAGTCATAAGTGACACAAAGATTTCTACGTGGAAAATCTTGAAAAGGAGAAAAAGCATGGGGCTTGGTCCAGTTAAAATGATTCCACTAGTGTTTGTAGATTACAAATGGTGCCCTTCCTCTGGGGAAAGACTTGGCTTAATATATCATATAGAGTGCATTACATAGTTGGGGTTGGAAGAATCTAATGATAAGGTAGTCATTCTCAAGAGAATGTTGTTCTGTTTATTTGGTTGCATGATGAAGGAGGACAAAGGGATCGTAGTCGGTGGGTGATAGACGTTAGAGGGATTGTATTTGGTAGGTGACAGAGGTCGGAGGGACAGTAGTTGGCGGGTGATGGAGGTCGGAGGGACCGTAATTTGCAGGTGATAGTGGTCGAACGGATTGCAGGCGTCAGGTTATGGTGGTTTGAGGGGTCGTATTCAGCGCGCGATGGTGGTCGGAGGGACCATAGTTGGCAGGCAATGATGGTCTGAAGGACCACTGTTGGTTGGCAATGGTGGTCAAATGTATCTTAGTTGGCTGGTGACGGAGGTTAGACAGATCGTAGTTGGCACATGATGGTGGTCGTAGGGATCGTCATTGGTCAAAGGGACCATAGTCGACGGACGATGGTACTTAGAGGGAGTGTAGTCGAGGGGGATGGGGGTGGGGGGGCAACGTTGGTCGTAGGAACCATAGTAGGTCAGAGGGACTATAGACGACGGGCAATAAAAGTTGGAGGGACTGTAGTTGAGGGGAGATGGTGGTAGGAGGGATTATAGTTGGTTGGCAATGATGGTCGGAGGGACCGTAGTCGACGGCCGACGACCGTAATTGGCAGGTAACGGTGATCAAAGGGATTGTAGTCAATCGGCGACAGAGGGATCGATGTCTCG